AGCCCGCCGCAGGAAGGCGCCCACGCCTGGAATTTCCCGGAGAGGGGGAAGGTTGAGGGTTGAAACCCGCTCGGAGGAGAAATCGGCGTCGGGCCTGGATGCTGAGTGACGGCGGGAGGCCTGGGCAGGTGCCCGGCCAACGGGGACGTCGTTCCCGCCCTGGGAGCCTCTGGCTGGTGTAGCCCCAGCCTCCCCGCGTGTGCCCGAGACAGGCTTGCTACGGCTGCATCCAGGGGCCACCCCGTTCTTTGTGCAAACGGCTGAAAAATGCGGAACGGGGCCAGAAGCGAGCCAGCAGCTCTTTGTCTCCTACGCTTCGTGTCGGTGGCCCGCAGGGGTTACCTCTCCCACGAACCACATCGGGCATCTGCCTGTCCGTTCTGCGCTGTACGCGGCATCGGTGAAGCTGCCCCTGGAAGACACTCGGAGCGGTCGGCCTCCTGTCGCCGTGGCTTCAGAAAGCAGAGGAAGCTCTTTGTTGCATCGGTCTCCAGCTGGCAGTTTTGTCCCTCAGGCACTGCAGCCCTATGGCAGTACTGAAAAATGAAAGGGAACTGGCATTTCGCCTTGTAAGGGTGAAACGCAGCTCATGTTTATCTGTACGAAAAGTAAATTTAGGCCTTTAAAAATGGTATAATAGTAGACCCTCTGTGAATGTATTAAGGTTACATATATTAATAGAATTTCATAATACTGACCTTAAATTGCAGCTTTTTAGCACAAAAACGTTAATTGAAAAAGTAGATTAATGGCTGTCCTGCCGAAAAGGAAAAGAAACTTGCTTTATGCTTTCCAGAAGCCATTTTGGATTAGAAATTGGCCAGAGTCCTGAACTGAAACTCAAGGTCTCCATGTTTCCTTGATTTTTTTCATTGAAATCACATCACAGCATAAATAAAGCATGGGCTCCAATCCAGAACCCACTGGGATCAATAAAAACTTCTCCTAGTCCCTTGCATCTGGGTGTTTTTATACATAAATAATTTAAAAAAGCGTCTGCTTTGTTCTTCTATTTATGGAATAACTAAAACATACTATTCATTTTCATCCTACAGGTGAGGAAAGCTTAATTCTTCTAGATGGAAGACATGAATTTCCGTTCAGCTTTCAACTCCCTCAAGAGTAAGTTAAATAATCCAACCTGAAGGGATTGTGCTGGATACTGCTTGTTGTGGAACATTAACTGAATGTAATTTGACTTGTGTTTTTTTTAATATCAAACCGATAGGTCAGCTTTGTATGTTTGTCTTAATCAACCACCACACAGACATGCCTTGTTGGCTTCAGTTTCCCTAAGGCCCTAAAAGTACAAGCTCTAAATTGGTAAACAATTATGTACACAGGAAGTGTTAATGTTTGGAACTGAATTATAAACTTAAGAGTAATGCTTTTCTGACGGCTTGTTTCAGACCTCTGGTGACCTCTTTTACTGGGAAGTATGGCAGTATTCAGTACTACGTGAAAGCAATTCTGGAGAGGCCTGCAGCACCTGATCAAAGTGTACAGACAGAGCTTCAGGTCATTAGCCATATCGATGTCAGCTCACCAGCTTTATTGGTAAGAGGGTCCTCCGCTCCTCCTCCCCCCTTTAAAGCCAGCTGCAAAAAAATCATTTCCAAGAAGCATTCACATCCAGCCATAACCATTTCCATGTTATTCTGGAGTGTCATTTTCTGACTTCTGAAAGCATATGAGCTCCCTAAGCTTTTCTCTATAAATAGATGATCTTAGGTTGTGTGAATAGCAAACAGAGTGGCTTTTTTTAATACCATTGATTACATCCCTGCTGGCAGAGATGCTCTTGCCAAAAAGTTACGCAGGCTTCAGATGCGTAAATAAGGCTTAATAATAATAATGCACAAGCATAAAGTAGTTACTCTTACCAGAGCAACTACATTCACAGGGCTGCAGTGTCCTAAACTCTACAATAATAGTAGGTTGAGGAACAGTAATTATAGAAGAGTATTAATCATGCCCAGCCTGTCATTTATGCTCTGGCCATTATGTTACGTATCTTTCCATTTTGTATGTCGTTTCCTAACATTAAGTGCGTGCATGCAGCTGCTTCAGAGATCTTTTCAGTTATTTCCTTATGACAGATTTGGCCACATTAAAGCATTGAGTTTCTAATAATCGCTAGAAATACTGTAGAGTAATAAGAAAGATCAGGCATTAAGTAATGAGAAAATAGGCAAGATGGAAGCTAATGAGCTGGATTCTTTTATCTCAACCCATATTATGAAAATAATATAAAATTATACCTTGCACTTTCATGATAGCAACTGGATCTAAATGGTTATTCATTTAAATATGAATGAGTAATTTCTATTTTATTTAAAACGCTAGGATAATTTTAACATTTCATCATGATGTGAACGTAGTTAAGAGATGTTTTGAGCAGGGATTTTTTCCTCTTTATATGCTTACATTTTAATCTTTCTCTCTAGAGAGAACCTGGAGAAGTAGTTTGGCAGTGACATCTGTAAGGAGAATATAGTCTTTATATTCAACAACGTATGTTAGGAGTATGAAGACAGCATATCCAGACAGAATCATAGAATTGTTTAGGTTGGAAAAGACCTTTACGATCATCGAGTCGAACCGTTAAATGCTACAAACATAGATACTGCAAGGATAGACCACAGCTTATTGCACAGGAGAGGGCTGGGGGGCACATAAAGTAGGCGGTGCCTGTCTTAATGGATTCCAAGGCTACCACCAAAAAAGTGCAAAACAACACAAATTTCAGACTTTATCATTATATTGACTGGGCACTAGTGCCCACTAAATTATTTTAAGTAGCTTGAATCCTAGCTTGGACCCTTGACATGTGTGCTTGTAAGTTGTACGTTTATTCTAATGAAAATCTTACAGACAGTGTAAATGTCATCTAATGTGACAGTCCTCCATGAAAAATTAAGATGGTTTTGTAACGAGCCTAAATTTTTGGGGGTTGTATGGCTTGCAAGTTATGAAGATGCATCACCTTGGCCTAGTGTGTATACATTTATCCTTTCTTATGAAGGTTACAAAGGTAAAAACAGTTCACCTGCTTAACAGTTAATTGCTTGCAGATGAAATTAATTCTGCAGTCTTCTGCACTGAGGGACATGGGCATAAATACCGCAGTACTCCATTCGACCTTTAAAAAGTCACACCTATAAAATTTGCTAAATCAGTGGTTTTGAAGACGGATTGCGTTCAAATGCACATTGGTCTCTGTGTTACCTAGTTGATATGGTCTAACTGCAGACTAGGATTTTAAAACAGCCGTATGTTCAGATAGCCAAACCTTGGTTCCATTTTACATGGTGGCAAAACTCCAGTTGCATTGAGTAGTAGTACAGTGATTCAGATCAAGCGGATTTTAGAGCTAGATTGCAATGACTGGTGTGCATAACATTAAACTGCAAGTGACTGATAGCTTTATGCCATAAAATGAAAAATACTCTATATTTTATAGACACCTGTTCTAAGAAGTCAGGAGAAGATGGTTGGCTGTTGGTTTTTCACCTCTGGGCCAGTGTCTCTCAGTGCCAAAATTGAGAGGAAGGGATACTGTAATGGTAAGAGTAATTATCTTCAAAATGCGAATATTAAACATCTGATAGGGTTTTTCTTAATCTTTGTGAAGCTAACACTTCATAGTTGAAAGAATAGTTCCGTTTAGTAGGTAGTAAATTGAGATCTATATGAACTTGCTTTAACAAAAATCATCTTGCCTTTCCCCTTACTCCCTCGTTGGGAATATAAATTGAAAGGAAGTCCTGTTAGGCAGTAATCTTATGGAAAAGCCATGTACGTTTCAGTGTAAAGAACAATAAAATGCTTTTATTTGGGATAAAATACTTAATTGGGGATGTAATCAGGTTTTTATGTCCTGTTTGTGTAGGCTTACACTTCTGTAAGAATGAGCTTTAGCAGCTTCTTTGTCATCTTGATAACATTAGATACATGGAGGAAACAAAACAAAACATTCTGAAATTTAGTTATACTATATAAAAGGAAGATTGGCGCATAATTTGCAAATAAAGCTTTTATAGCTTGTTCATATTATGCTTAATGTTTCAAAATGAATCATTGTTTATATGTAAAATGTAGTAGGTGGCTATAATTCTGCCTAGATACCACTCTGGAAAAAAAAAAAAAAAAACAACCTAGCTTGAGGAAACTACCAAGTATTGTTCTCATAACATTGCAGATGATGTACGTGCTGCATAACATGCTTTGATACTCCCAGAGGAAAGCTGGTAAATACAAATTAATCATTGAACTTCTTCTGTCTTTAAGGGGAAGCCATACCAATCTATGCAGAAATTGAGAACTGCTCTTCTCGTTTGATTGTTCCAAAAGCTGCCATTTTCCAAACGCAAACTTACCTGGCCAGTGGGAAGACAAAAACTTTCCGTCAGATGGTTGCCAATGTCCGAGGAAACCACATTGCCTCTGGGAGTACAGATACCTGGAATGGGAAAACTCTGAAAATCCCACCTGTATCCCCCTCTATACTTGACTGCTGTATTATTAGAGTAGAATATTCATTAGCTGTAAGTATGGATTTTTATTACAAATGTACATACTCTTGAATACTACACTGAGTTGGGAACAGAAGAATTTTCTCTACTGAGCAGCTATTAGATTTTGAATTTGGGAATGACAATAAATATAAATAAATATCATATACAGTGTAGGTGAGAGACTGAAGATTATGAAGAGATCTGAAATGGAAAGATAGGAATAATGGGGAAAATGGAAAAAAATGTTTCTGAGGAGGAAGCAGCTTAGGTTTAGACCTGCAGAGGTTATTAGGGGAAAGTAGTTCAAGCTGAATGGGTTACTCTAGTGATTCTTTTCAGAAATGGGAAGACAGGACTGAAAGTCAAGTGCATAATTATTTTTTTCAACCTGTTCTGTATTTTTTTAATGTCATCTAGAGACAAGGTACAGAAAGAAGGAAGTTGCTGGAAAATATGGAAAGCTGTCAGAGTGTTAGCTAAACATATCTGAGATGAGAAAACTCCTGATTTTTAAACAATCTGCAGCATAGGGAGTAGGGTAGCTTCTAGGAGCAGCAATTTAATGGGGTCTTATGATGTTTTTTTCTTTTATTTGGGGGTTGTCACATAGGTGTATATCCATATTCCCGGTGCTAAGAAATTGATGATTGAAATGCCTCTGGTGATTGGCACTATCCCATGTATTGGATTTTCAAGCAGAAACTCCAGCATTACCAGCCAGTTTAGTATGGATATGAGTTGGCTGGCATTGACGATGCCAGAACACCCTGAAGGTAATACATACTGAACTCTTTATAATACAGCATAGTACTGCCTACAACAGAAGGACAGTAGTGCCAGTTTCAGGGCACTGCTAAGGATGTAGGCCATTAAAGTATGACTCATGAGAAGTGAGGCATGTAAATCTAAGCCAAGATCCCAAAGGATTGGTGAGGATACCCTAACTCAGCCTTTTTTAAGTCTCTCTTTGCCCCTATCTGACTACTTTCAGCTGAATCTTGAAATAACGTAACTTCTCATAGTGTGAATTCTGCTTTGGAGGTAGACACCTTTAAAGTTAATCGTTACTGAATATTTCTTGATACAATACAGGTTTGTTGCTGGAGTAGCCCTAAAAGTATCAGCAGTATTGCTGCTGAATCACCTAAGCTTACTAAAAACATAATTCTAGTTACAGTATTTACGAGTATAGCACACTTCATACAATTTGACCATAGTACAATGTTTAATAAATACAGTCTTCATGGCCTTGAATACTGTAATACACACATTGTCTTGCTGTGAGTGAATAGTTTGAAATTTGACAGTAGCTTCTCTTGTGTTTCAGCACCACCAAATTATGCTGATGTAGTGTCTGAGGAAGAGTTCTCCAGACATGTTCCTGCTTATCCACCACCAATTGACTGTGAGGAACAATTGTGTTGTCCTGTCTTTGCTTACATACAAGAGTTCCGGTTTCAGCCTCCACCTCTTTATTCAGAGGTAAAAAAATAAACAGCAGGTGGTGGTTTTATTGTCAGATGGCAAAAAAAAAAAGCCACATACAGAAATGCAAGAATTATAGGCAGTAATTGTTGCCTTTCTTCTCTCTGTAGATTGATCCACATCCAACTGATGTAGAAGAAATTCAGCCCATTTCATTCATGCTCTGAAGAGGATTTGTAATGAGCATCATTGTGATGAATGTCTTAATCTTTCTGCTGCTTAAGCTGATAGTGCAGCTAAAAAGGAAAGTTTTCTTTTTCAAAACTTAAGTTTGTGTACAAGAAAGGCAAAGGAGAATGGAGAGGGAGGTATGAGCATGTTTGGTGATGGAAGAGAATCTGCCGGATTAGTCTGCACAAGAGGATATTGTGGGAGCAGCAATGTTTGGGATACTTGAGAAGTACCTGAAAATACTGAATGCTTTCTAAAAAGTGGATATACTACATGAAGTACGAAGAGGAGATGTGAGGATCTTCTGAAGAGAAAAGAAATTCTATTTTGTTTGAAACGCTCTGGAAGAATTTATGTAACGATGTTGATGTTGAGAACTTGTGTAGTAGAAGAGAACGTGGGGTAAGAAAACATTTCCAAAAGATTCCATGTTCAAGGGGCTTCAGTTTTGCACTGTCTGCATCCGAGAAAGGAACACTACTAAAATGCGGAGTGAAGTCTTCACTCAAGCTTAACTTTGTATTTCATGAGAACCTGCCCTTCTAACAACTGCCAAGTGGTACTATTGCATCATTCAGAATGATTCTAAAGACATCATGGATGACAGAATAGCTATTACGCAATATTATGAAGGTAATCATTTACTGAATGAAAGACACAAGTATGTAAAAGAAAAGCGAACTTTGATAAGAGCTTATGCACTATGCTTTCTTTCAAGGGATTTCTTAAGGGAATTATTGTAGTCTCTTCTACTGTGAGTTCTTTTTCTGCATCTTAAGCCTATGGATAGCATGGTAAGGGGAAGCATGGCAAGGGAGAATCCTTTTGCCAACAGCAGGTGTACTTAGCAAAATGGACAATACTTATTTATTCAGAAGCCTTTATAAGCCTACCTCTGTTTTGGATATTTACTTACGGTCAGATTTGAGACCAAAAAAAGTCTTGTTAAAGCTCCAGTATACTTCAAGGTTCTAAAAGGGACCCTAAATGGTTTCTGTGGTTAGTGAATGAGATAGGAGGCATAGGGAGAGGTGTAAATACACCCAGAATAGACATAGCTTGTAACTGAAGTGAAAGCAGACATCAGGGGAACAAAATCCTGGGAATGGCACAAAGCTTTTCATTACTCCTGTATTTTTGTCTAGAGATCTATTGTCAGGGGCTGCACTGGTCATTTGCTATCCATACTATTTTTTGTTAGTGTGTTTCCTTGTTTGTTTTTGCTGTTTAATTTTGTTTTGGTGCAATATTTTAATGTTTTCTTCCTCAGGTCATTTAGAACAGTGAGAGTTTGTTGCTGCTAAGAGTAAAGGCACAGCATTTTAGTTGGCCCTTCTGCTGCCTTCATTTAAAGTAGAATTTTTGCTTCCTGCCAAGCATCAATTGGAATAAGTAAGCCGCCATCAACAGATCACTTAAAGGAGCAGAAACACAGCATTATCAATATGCACGTTTACAGTCAAGTCTTTAAACTACAGGGAATTTTGAACTACTAGAACTACTCCATATGTCTTACAGAAGGGTTTGGGGTTAAAAACCGGTGCTTCATGTGGTAAAACATTGTACTTTCTGATAACTACAAGAATAGTAATTGAGTTTCCTTCATTTCATCAGTAACTGCAGTTTAAAAAAGTTTAAATGTTTTTTTTATGAAATCTGTCTTCATTTAAGAAGCCAGGATTTTTCTACAGGCATACACGGATATATATTTTTAGTCTTCTTTTAGTATGACTTCCTTACATTGTCTAATTTCTAGCACTTCACCTCAAGTCACTTTTACATCAGTGTAAAAGACGTACTGATTGAGATTCACATTTCCAAACTGCAGTTATTTTTTTTCATTTGCAACTTTAAGTATTGTCTTCTACAGAAAATGCAGCTTTAACCAAAACTTGAGTGCATGGTTTAGAAAGGACACTCTAAAAATTACTATTTATCTTAAATTTCAAGATGTAGCGCTCATGCCTTTTTAAGTGATGGCGTGCCCATACAATCAATGCAGGATTTTCATTCACATCACCTGGAAAGGGAACAAGCATATTTTCCTTAAACAGATACCATTATAGTTACTTGAAAAGTAATATGGCTGTGTATTAACTAGCATGTTAATAATTCCAAATACTAGCTTTATAAAACATTAGGTGCTTTTTGGACTGTAAGACCTGATAGGCGATGTGTGCTACCTGGTATAAACATAGTCAAGCAAACAAGAGCATGAAGGGTAAAGATGTGCTTTCCCCCCCCCCCCCTTTTTCCTAAAACCTTTGAGTCTTCTTTTATTATTTGCAGATAAACTGTGGCCTTAGATTGTTTGCTGCAAAAAAGACAAACAACTAGCATGTGTTTCTTAGGAAGCACATGGCCCTTCAAAGGAGGGGTGAAAACAAGATTAAATTCTGCTCTCTGACACTTGACTTAGTGCAGAAATTGATCCTTAAAATAATTACTGTTTGCACAATAATAAGTTCAATATGCAGGGGCTTTGTTTTGATAACTGTGAAACAGTTTAAAAGAGACAAAATAAAAAAAAAAACCATGCTGTTTAACATACAGGAACATGATTGTATTTTGTACTAATGAATGAGCCCCATGGGTTCTTTGTTAATAAAATTGTCAAACCTACGTTGTGTTGTTCATCTCTGGTTTGGTGTCTCTAAGACAAATGGCTGCAATGTGAAGAAATACCTGTATTCTACCAACTTTGAACGCATAGAGATTTCCTCATTCTTTCCTGACCTGGGAGCTTTGCCTTCATCTGTCACTGCTTTAGTTCCCTGAACTATCCATAACCAGGAATTGGAACAAATTCATCAAATGTGGCCGGCCCCCACCTATAGTCGTTAGGTAATATACAGGACTTAATTGTGGGTATCTTACCCATAATGATTGAAGTGGCAGGATGTGTGCTCTAATTGGATTTCCCATCTCATGTATTAATCTTACTGGATATTTTATTGTGTTTCCTTTAGACAAGATTATCTCTACTGTGTAGTTCATTGATCTAAATACATTAGACCAACCTTATAACCGTAGTACAGAATGACTAAAGCAGAGTACCTCCTACCACGGGGAAAGAGATGACAAATTGTATCTACCACATAGCTCACCTAAGCCATAAATGAGACGATGAAATCTCTGTCAGGGTCCTGCCTCCCAAAGATTTGAGGAACAACAAACAGAACTGTTGATTTCTTCTTCCTTTCCACTTTCGAGGGAAGACAGCAAACCTCTCCTTGGAAAACCCAGCTGATGAAGATGCTGTTCAGGATCATGTGTTCAAGCGCTGGAGCTTGCAGAAGGGGTCATGACTCATGGAAAAGAAAATGCAAAACCTCAAATTCCGGTCTTGGATTTCTAAAAGGTCTCTTACTAAATGATCCTAAAATATCCTCTCATGAAGTTCACAGTAGCAATTCCCCCTCATCCACTGTTAAGTTTTATAGGGGACTATTTCTGTTGACAAACTGTCTATTCAAATATGTTTAGTGTTTAAACAGGTAGTAAATGATGTGCTCTGCCGTACAGGGATAGAGCAGTTAGTTAGTTAGTTAGTTAGTTAGTTAGTTACTGCAGGCTTGTGTTTGCAGCTCCGATACTTCTGCTGTTTGCATGGAAATGCACAATTCACACACAGAGTAAGAGAGAGCATTTAATCAACTCCTGGGGCGCGTTCCGAACTATCAAAATAGCATGGTCCATTACTTCATCTCCCAATTTGAAGAGCAGAAGGGAACATCTAACTCCTTGTGTAAAATCTCATATACTATATATATCAATAAAGAAGTGTTTGGAGAGCAGTTTGCAGACAAAGTTGATTTGAAGATAGATAGTCAATTGCTCTACTACCCCCCAAAAACCCCACAGCAGAAGTGCCTACTTTCTAGTAAAATTCTGGTTTTCAGTACTCTCCTTAGGGTAGTGAGTGAGCACAGGGACACAGAAACCCGCTTTCCGAGTGCTGCATTTTCTAAAGCTGGTTATATAATATGTTAACATCGATACGGATAGCACAGGCTACTGCACAAAGTAGATTCTCTAAAGAGCTAAGTAGGTCTATGATGAACCCGGTCATTCACTTTTAATATTAAAATTTTATATGTAGCACAGGCAGGGTGACAGTCTTGTTCCAAATTATGTAGTGGTCGTAATTTCTAAACGATTAATATGAAATGATAGTACACAAAAGCTGCACTAGAACATCACCGCATTATCGGCATTTTAGGACAACTGACTAATAATGATAAGTCAAAAACGCATAAATCGCAGTTTTTCATGGAACGCAAACTGGCAATTCAAGTGGGACTTCACTCGCTTATGCCAGCAACATGCTGTGGGCCTTCTTAGTTACACGGGACAGACTCTATCTGATTAAGTACAACTGTATTACTGATAAATCTCTGCGCACCCATGCCTTCCAAAGAAAAGAGGAAATCCTTCTTAGTTTTGGCTTATATTCAGCCATCTGGCTGCCTGTAGGGTGAGGAGAACACGAAATGCAAGGTGAAAGTAAGTTGGTGCAAGTGCTGGTGCTTGACAGACACCTACAAACAGATTGCCTCAAATAATCTGAAGAATGCAGAGCAGCCCAAAACATTTTTATACAAATGCACAAGGTATTTGCTGTGTCAATTGATGGCAGCATTTATTATTTGTGGTCTCAAATAACAAGCGACTGTGGTCAGATTAAGGTTACCTAAGTATCATGTTAGGCATATTTTTACTTAGCAATTGTGACAGCCTAACAAAAAGCATCACCCAAACATCAGACCAGCCCTTCTGCTTTGCTTCTAACTCTGCTCAGTGTCCCAGACCGCTACGGGCGCCCTTGCCCTGCTCTCCCCTCTCCAGCAAAACTGCTCACTGATACTTTGCTTGTAGCCTAAGACCCAGATGGAAGTCTTTGTAGGCTCACACAGATGGGGAGAGCAGCATAAAGACATTTCCAGTCTTATTAAATAGAAGGAGAACCGAGGTAAAAATGGTAGGCAGCCATCAGTGGGGTAGGCTGCGGGATGGACGCTGGCCGAGTGGGGAAATGGGGCAGGTACGGAAAGGAGAAGCGGCTGGTGTCGGGCAGAGGACACAGGCACAGCAGCGAGCACTCCTCTGGGAGGGGATTTAGCCTGAACACCAAAAACAACCATTCGCCCCCGTCTCCTGGAGTTTTACTGGCAGGACTTGGTCTCAGATGTGGTGACACACAATGTGCGCAGACGGGATGCATATATGGAGGCTAAACCCAGCCCAAAATTTTTGGCT